TCCCTACTGAAAGGAACAAGGACAAAGAGAAATCTTCTGAGTCTCAATAAAGATTAATGAAATCATCCCCAATTGCTAGAGAGGTCAAACACTAGACTAGGATAACTAAAAGATTATGGCATCTCCTTCACTGCCTAGACAAACGTCTAGTTTGTCACAACCGGGATGCTGCACCGGTTCAGAAGTTGTAATACTTCCATTCTTTATACGCTGAAGACTTCTGCAACCCTGCATCTTTTTTTAATCTTTCAATCAATACGTAAATTTCTACCTGTCTCACTGACATCAAAATACGTTTCATAGGTGGCAAAGTTACAGCCCTGTTTCTACCACTGGATATCCAAGGACTGTGCAACATGAGATGGACTGCAATCAGAGTCACACTTAGCTAATCCAAACCACTACCTACCTGTTCCTACGATCTCTGAAAAACGACAGAAAAAAACCTTCAAATGAGTAAATTAACCTATAAATGTGTTTCATAAATATGATAGCTCCCACATCATTTAAAGAAATATCCAGACAAGTAATGTGTGCAAATTGGGTCAAGATCAGCCGTACTTGACTCAAATTCATTCCTAATGCAAATCTAGTTAAGTGACTTGCATTTTGCCTAGAACAGCAATAAATTTAGCCTACAAGATGTGAACAGAAAAATCAGAGCTGTGTATAGAGAAGTCACCTCTTGTGTAAAGCGTCTTTTCTTCACACTGGGTAAGACATCTTGCTGGCTCCCTGAACCATCACAACCAAGTGAGGTCTGTTTCCGTTTGTTGGATTCCTGTAGGCAAGTAACTGCGCCATCCAGTGAGTGTTTCTCAGAAGATCTGGATGTTACCGAGCAGTCTAGAGCTTCATCTTCATTTTCTGTTTCTACTTTCACAATATCTTTTTTAGGAATTTTTACTGGAAAAAGAGAAGGTTTAGAATGATAAAGCACTCTCTCCAGAAAACCACGATACCCTTAAAACAATCTTTTGTGCTTTGTTGTTTTTTTATGAAAAATGTATTTTGAACAACGTAACTATTTTTTATCACTCATATAAGTGTACGTTAAGGCCACCCCAAAGTCAGGTTTTTATTACGCAAGGAACCATACAAACATCTAGTAAATGCCATTTTCTTCCCCGAAGAAGAGTTGAAAGTACAAACAAATAAAGTTACAGTAGGGAGAAGGGTTTTTTGGAGTGGGAGGAAGGAAACAGAGGAGAAAATACCATGAACAAAAAAATAGCAAGATGCTTTAGATTGATTTTTAAAAATCAAATTTTCCTTGATCCAGCTGCATTCTTCATCAGGTTACAAAAGTTTTCATTCAATTTGTATTTTTTCCTGATTATAAAATACAAAAAGTATAACATTTTACCTTCATCATCATCAGTGATTTCAGCTGAGTTCATCTTCTATCTCACTAAAGAACAAAAATAAAAATAAAGTGGTATCAGCATCTTCTGGAATCAGGACATATATTACTATTCTTAATCTACAGCCACTGGCCTTTAAGAGCCCATGGGTAATTCCCAGTCTGTACTTTTGTACTAACCAGCTATTTTAACGAATGTCTTGGCCATCTGTAGACCTATCCAGCATGTAAACTATACTCCAAACAAGATAGCCAGGAACTTGTTTAAAGCTGTATGTCTTTTTCTGATATGAGGAAAAGTAAAAGTCATTTTAACCTTCTCTGCAATAATAAACTACCTTGGCAGTATATAGATGAAAGTTATCTGCATTAAATTCTCCATCCTGTGCTAAGTGCCTACTTCTTATTACAGTCAAATGCTTTTATATCGTCATTGTGGGTCAAAACCTAAAGTCATCACAGAATGAAAACTCACTGTAAAGTGCAATATACGTGCTAGAAAAAAACTTCAGTTAAAAATCTTGTCTTCTGATATGCATTGCATTAATTTAAAACAGAGGAATTTGTAGATTTGCAATAATACTCTTTTTTTTTTTTTTCTTACTGGCAGCCAATAGCCTCTAAACAATGTAAAAATGCCTTTTCTATGGAAGAAAGCATTTGTTTTAGTACGGCATGATGTTAGCCTTACTTCTCATATAAAAGACTAAATTGTATTTCTGTTTCCTTGAAAACTGATTTTGCAAATTACTTGAGATAAATATCTGTGGACAGGTCCGTAAAAAGATATTTTAAATCTTGTGGGGATCTGCAAAGCAAACAGCCTAATCAGATCTCACTGGCCATCATGAGTACACAGCTGCAAACTGACTCTCACAGTTGGTAAACTGTCACACATTGATTACGTTCATCTACACCTAGCATTATGCTTACTTGGCCCCAGAATATTTTACTTTACATTTTCCACAGTTACATTCCTTTTTCAAATAGCTTTCATTCAACTACTTGTGATTATTCTTTAGCCAAGGTCTGAATTTGTCCATGTTACTAAAAAAGACAGGCCTGTTTCCGGCTGAAGCCAGAGAATAGAGCAACTAATCTACCTGGTTCTGTCTGGAGCTAGAGAATAAAGCAACTAATCTATCAAAACTGTACTTACAGTGCACGCATGGGAATTCTAATGAAATAAAAGAGAGAGAGAATCCGGACTGGAAAAAAATAAAAAATTTAGTCTTAATCTTACCTTCCAATAGTGCAGTATAGAAAATTATTTTAAATAATCTCAAAATACTGTTAAAAAATTCTGCAAACACTTGAATACTGAGTAGCTGTGACTTTTTCTTTCACATTCAGGATAGGATTTTGTACTATAGCACTACGATGGGTAGCACACACATTCAAACAAAACATGCATGGAGTTATAAAATCGGCTCATAGCAGACCAGCCGAGGAGCCAAAGCATCCTCTGACATGCTCATCTTCAATATGGTCCCTATATATAGCCTTGTAAACAGCATCCTTAAGAGGACAACACGAGACTGCCTTCACCATTTTGCCACCAGAAAAATCTCCTTCAGCTGGACGTAAAGCTACTATAAACCCCTTAGATATCTACTCCTTTCACCCAACATCACTCCTTCCTTCAGGATCTGCATTTATGAACTGATCTATATGCAAATTATGCCAGCTTAACAGTCCGAAAATCACCTCACTTACACTTGTGCAAACTCTACTGTAAAGACATATTAGCGTGAAACATAAATGGCCCACACCAACCTGTAAATCACCTCACAAGCACCAGGGAAGGTCAAAACCCAGTCTTACTAACTCAGTCCTATTTATGAATTTAGATTAAGCCTCTACAGTTCTTTTATGAATCATCCCAAGAAGACAGCATATTTCCTACCGCATCATCAGAAAGCTATGTCAAACTTTAAGAAAAGTATATAACTTTAGGTTAGATTTTCAAGCCAATTCTTCGATGGCAGTATTGGAGCAAACCACCAAAAGTTGGTAAACTGGTACAAAGAACCAGAAGGGAAAAAAATTGAGGAGGAGCAGGGGGTAACAGAAAATATCTAGGTGGGGTTATACCACTGAATTTTTTTTTTCCTTCTCACTACTTAGTGCTATTACTGCTACTCAAATTGGAAGAATGCATTAGGAGAGTTCCTCTAAGGGAAGACATGGAAGCTAGAAGGAAAAGATAAATGAAGATCTGAATAATCACTCCTTAATAAAAACTGGAGAAAAGTGAAAACTAAAGCTCAGCAGATATCTTGGTTAACAGCTAACTTGCTAACAGATGCAACATCAGGAAAACCAAAGCCATTCCAAACTCAGGTCAAGTAAGATGAAATTAAAACATTTGGTTTCACACTTTTGAAACAAAGAGTTATTATTTTGAAATTATGTTTTCGTTTTGAAAACTGCCAGAATACAATTTGCAAGCAAACAGTCCAATGACCATCAGAACTAATGAAGCTTCGAAATATGAGATTTTATATTTGCTGTCAAGTAAAGCACAAGCTCCAGCCTTTTCCCCTTTGGGTGCCTACTAATATCTCTCCTTAGCTGGTTGCCTATGTGCTTTGTGAGATTTGTAAGAACTTCAGTACTACGAGAAAATTAAGCACAAATAACAGCTTCTGATGAGAGACAGGAGTGTCTACTGCCCCTCTAATTTCCGGCCACGTAGTCCCATCTGCTCCCTGTGTCAAGCATGGGCGCTCACCTTCATCTTCAGTGAGCTGTTTCAGCTTGCTAAACCAGCAGAAAATAATTCACTACCTTGTAGCTGGGTTAGTTTTCTTCTAGCTCAGAGAGGTAAAAAGTAAGGCAAAGAAGCGTCTAATTCAGGAACATATGCCAGGTTTGGGATGTCAAGGAGGAATTAAAACCTCTCTTTTTGCTACCAGCAAGCAAGCTACTGGCTTGGTTCAACCACTGCATGAAACTTCATCTGTGATCTCCTTTACAACAGCACCTCACTTCAAATTTGGGTTACAACTAGCTCACAGGTGAGTAGTAAGAGAACTCAGGGATACCAACAGAGTGATTGTACCATCACTCCCATAGGAAACTAGGAGCCTATGAGAGCAGGTAAGGTGTGCGTGTATGTGAGCACATGCATGCATGCACGTATGTACACCTGCCCCTGTAAGGTTAACATTGATATTTGTTGGTTATTTCAACTTTGCTAAAGACAAAGCATTTGAGCTTATATAAAATGCTGTTTGGGGTGAATATTGTGAAAAATATCTATTTCCTCAGTAATAGAAGTAGTAGTATCAAAGCCTCTTTTGAGGTAGCATTCTGGCCCAGACAGTGAAAATAAATTAAGTTAGAGAAAAAAGATCTAGAAGAACTTGGGAGGAAAAGAGTACAAAAAGCAATCAAGTAAGAAATCCAGCCAATAAAGCCAACACTTGATAGTTGTTTCTTGTCATTTTGAGTGTACAAACACATTTCATTGTTATGTTCCATGTCTTTTTCCAATATAGAAGATAAATACATTTATCTCCCTCAGCCAGGCACTGACTCAATGATACCTATACCACAGCGGTTAGCTAGTTCTAGGCGAGGGTGAATGTTTCGTACTGAAGATGGGAACTGGGGTCTGCCACCCCGACTGCCGGTTTGGGGCTCCGGAACAACCAGCCTTGGCAACTGCACCTTGCTGGGATACAGGTGGATGCTGCAGCACATATTTGTTGCTTGTGAAAACAGGTCTTGGGAGTAGGATTCGCAAGCATACCAAATACCTACAACAGCTCCACTAACAGCCAAATCAGAATTCGAACGCAGTTCATTGGAGCTGCAGCCCTAACACCAGTAAGTCTAAATTTTAGCTGAAATTTCTTGTATTTCCACCTCGACTGACTAAGAAATCTTCGTTTTACAAATTATCAACATAAAAAATGGTGCTTTCCTGAAACTTCAAGTTTTAGGGCTTTGCTTGTAAATGTTTATTTGTGAAGCAAGCTATTTCAGAAGCACTTTCTCTAGGTTAAGTTTTGGTTTCTATCTTGGGCACAAAGCTCCATTCCGAAGAATACGTGAACCGTTTAGAAACGTCTAACCAAACAGGCCTACGATAAGTGATGTAATACAGTCTCACCCATGCTTTAGCATAAGCTTAGAGAAAAATATTCAGAAAGAATAAACCTGACTGGATCCTAAAGCTTTGAACGTTGAAAACAAAGTGCATATCTAATACTCACATTTCTTCAAAAGAGACTGCGACTTAGATTAAGAGCAGTCTGTTTCTAGTACAGGCATTAGCTAGACCCCTCTAATGTAGGGCAAACAGGAAGATGTGTAGCACTTGGACCGATTCAACAGACGAGAAGGAAGAAGAGGTAAAGCAGCTGCTCTACTTGAAAAGGGACCCCATCGGTGGAAACAATAAATCATTGAATTCTATTGCCTATGTTTTATCTATTGAGAGCCGTCTTCCAGAAAACAATCTGTAGTTTATAACTTCTGCGTAATCAATGTCTCAAAGATAAACACTTTCCTCACGTATCAGCATGTGCTCCTCTGTACATTTAAACTGCCTTGATAGCTACCAGTGCCGAGACCGGTATTGTACAGATTCAGGTACTGAGCAATTGCTAGGAGCCATGAAACAGGGCCAGTGTGATACCAGCACTCCCCTGTAAAGACACAAACATTCCTTTTGGTTCAGTCCTCTAGACTCAACCAAATATCCTTAGACTTTTGAAAAAGTTAAAAAAGATGAACAAAAAGAGAACAGATTTCTTAAGATGATTAAAGTTTTGTTATTCTAAGAGAAGTGAATGAAATTACCCAGATTTGCAATCAGAGACACGTAAAATGATGATGATTCTTTTCAAAGTAACATATAATGAGCTTATTTGCAGAGGACTGATCAGACATACGGCACTGTGTCATTCCATTTTATGCGAAGCTATTTCCAATAAGTTAAATAAACACCGAAGTTTAACTCAAGAAATAGACTACATTCAGTTTGTGAATTGCAGCAAGATCCAGAAATGCCACTCAGCTGCCACCTACACTTGCAGGCAGTTATAGCTTCCAGATGACAAGTTTCTGGCGGACCGTATACATAAAACCACGTGAGTCCTGCTGAGATTCTTGCACTAGGAACACCCTGCACCTGGCCTACTGTCTAAGACTGAACGTTCTCAGAGCATGCTCCGTACTTCAGGACTCATAGAAAACAGTTATATATAAGGGTAGCATATTTCACTTAGAATGGCACAATGGTTAAAGAGGTATTTGGGAGCTAGACAACCTGTTTTTCCACTTCCCTGCTCCTGATTTTGTAGCAGAGCCAAGATCCCCAAAACCTAGCAGAGTGACCTAATCATCACCAGATTGTAAGTGTCGTGGAGGGAGTCACCTGGGCGAGCAGAGCAGTCTGCTGGGGCAGGGGATGTCCCAGTGCTCCAGCACACCCTGGCCTTCACTATCCGATGAATCCCCTCCCACAGATCCTGCCCTCCCTTCTCCTCATCAGATCAAACAGGGGAAAGAGAAGGTTCAACAAAGGGAAAGAATATTCCCTACTTTCATTCGTATCACTTTGATGCATGCCTTTATTCAACAAATTTACCAGGATATGATACTTAATGTTATCTTTATACCATTTTAGTATTAATATCAAATATTAAAATGGTATTACCATAGCTAACAGGGAAGTTGGACACACAGCTCAAACCTGCAGGTTCCACAGCGTGGAAGAATACCTTAAAAAAAAAAAGAGATACCTTAATAAAAGAGTAGTTGTGGAATGCTTACGTTCTTCTGTGCATTTAGTGCTACACAGTGCTACTTTTGCCTGTAAAGTAAAATCCATTTATCAAAAGCATGCCTGGAATATGCACAGAAATATTTAAAACAATTAGGTGCAAAGATATTATGAATAAGGGAGCAAATTACTAAGCTTATTCTACATGTGTTTCAGCCTCATACCATCAACTACGTTATAATAATAGACAAGCAGCTATTCAAAAATGTATCTAGTTAATTGATGTATATAAATGAATTAAATCATAAGCCTAACTTGAATCATCCCGTGATGTGCATCTCCTCGTGTTTACTACCTAACGATTGCTCATTTGCTGACTTTGGAGCTGTTCAAAGCAGCATGTTTTTCTACCTGTCTTACGCTTGCAATCATTGCAAAAAAACACAATACAAGGAGGAAAGGTCTTGCTGATAACATATAAAAATAATCTTGTGATCGAGGCAAGCCTCTGCCCCCGCAATCATACTTGAAGAAAGTTTGATTGCTCATCTTCAATTCATGACTATTTATATACACATATACCCTCTTACATATGACTATTATATAAAAGTATACATACATTTATAGACTTTTAAAGAAAAAAAGTACATCCCTGCCACAGGCAGAACACAAGTCCATTTTCACAACAGAAGTGAATTATAACTGCTAATTAAAATGAATCGTTATCTTAACTAATATACTGTAATAGAATGAGAATGACTGTTACCAGTTTTATAGAAGGGTTTGCTATTTAGTAATTTAAATGCTTGCACAAGACAGTATTGTTCAGTTCATTAACGCACAGTTAAGTGTGCAGCTGCTGCTTCTTGAATGCAGATCATCTACTAAAAACTGTCATATGAATATGTTCATGTAGACTGGAAGGCATGTCGCCAATTCTTCATTATCAACTGTAAGAACCTGCTATTAAAAATACATGTTTTTAAACATTACGCATTATGAGATGTTTATTCCTTTTATAGCCTCATGGTGGTACGTTGCTTCATATATAAAATTCACAGGCCTCAATGAAAAGTATTCTACTTGATTTTCATTTGTGTCTGATGAGTTGAACTGTTCTCTACCTTTTAGTCAAAAAGATATACGTGTGTTTGCTATTAACATTAAATATTCCTTAAAACATGTGGAAAAATAGTTCCATCTCTTCACTTGCAGCACGCAGTGAGAGACACACAGCAATTTCTTTAAAGTATAGGTAACCTAGTCAGGCTAAGTAAATGATGAGAGCATCAAAAAAAGCTGATATTCTAAGGAGATAATATTGGCTATTTTTCACAACATCTGTATATCAAACTGCCGTTATTTTACTTCATACTTAAGAATAACATGAAAAAGTTGCTCCTTGTCTTGCACGTGCCTTCCTGTAACACAATTTTATCGAACAAAATGACAATAGTATTACGCTAAACTGTGGTCTGCCCTCAGCCAGCCGAAATTATTGTCTGTTTATTAATCTTTAGCAGAGGACCACGATTAACTAATCTAGCAGATAGGACGCTCACTAGATAGGAAAGTGTCTGGGGTTCTGCCCCCCTGGCTATGGGTCCCGGTCTTATTTCATGTGAACGTGCCCTGGGTCAAACACAAAGCGCCTGATCCTTTCCCCTCCCCAGTCTTAGCTGAGTCCCTCTGGTTTTCTGAAATTCCATTTCTTCGCCTCGCAAGAGCACAGCTCCGAGAGGAGAGCTTGCACCTCAGGCCCCTGCCCTTCCCAAGGGCACCCGGGGTCTCGCAAGTAGCTGTGGGTAGCTGGGAGGAGTCCCACTGAGGGCGGGTGGGGGACACCTCTAGCCAGCAGGAAACAGTGTCCCTTGTGATATTTACAAGAATGACCCCCACATAACGCATTGAAATAATGACTGCAAACACTCATTCTCAAGAGGATCCCACCAGCCCTTTGAGGCCCAGAAGGAGAGAGGACTTTAGGCGCATCCCTGTTTTCAGCCTGTCCAGGAACTGCTCAGGCTGCATGTTGCTTTCCAGGGTGTCTGGCTGTCTGGACAGTAGAAGAGAATCTAGAGAACCAAGAAATCTGGGTTCTCCTTTGGAAGACAACTCATTTAGGTCTTTTACTTCCTAGCTTTAGTACTGGCTCCAAAAACTTCAGTATTACAGTTATTCTTAGGATGTATTAGATTCCCTCAATATGTAAAAAAAACACCGCAACCCAAATTCAACTCAATAGAACTACGACATCTACACTTCTCCAAAACTGAGCCTCGAAATGAATTTAACAGAGCCAATGTTTGCTTTCTGCTCAGTTCAATGGGACAGTGACTTGACTGGAATCATTGCAGAAGACCTCCTCAAAAAAACAAAACAATGCAAATAATTTTTCTGGAGTTTTTGGCATTGTTGTTAACATCTTTATTGTCTGTTTAAGTATACCTTCTGTTGTTGAAAACCTCATCACCATACTCATTGGCATGATGTTCAGAATGAGCAAATAACCAGAAAGGGTCACTGTCAGTATACTACACTTCTGCCTGAGACATCTTCACTTACTAATGCTACAAAGTAACACTTAAAACTATTATAACATATAGAAATTAGGAAAAAAAAATGTATTATTCGCTTTACACACCTGACCACTTTGTATATATTCAGTCAGGCTTCCTTACAAATTCAGATTTTCTTCTGGAGAAACATTTTTGAAGGGGTTGTGAAGTTACTTGAACTTCACAGGTTGAGGTAGCACATTGAGGAAGTTAAATCTGGTACCCGAAACCACACCTTAATTAAAAGAGAAGATAAAACATTATCTGATTTCAAATTGACTACATATCTTAAGAAACTCTGAATTAAGAATGTCGCTTCAGTTATCTGAACAAAGAGCAAAATGCAAAAAGACAGCATAAAGAATACTAAAAGTGTGTTTTCTATTCTAGCAATCAATTTTAATATAGCAGGGTGCTGCTAGTGACCCAGCAATGGAGTTTTTGAATAAAATTTATTCTTGATATCCAGTATTGATACTCAAAAGACTAAATAACTTAGAAAATGCTATTCCATCACAATCAAATACAACTATAAGCACATGTGTAACAGAAGCTTTTAATCCGTGAAAAAATATTTCTTGTAAGAACCAGCAGATGTTGTTGGAAGCATTACCCCCATGGATAGAAAAATCTCTATACTTAACTGTTTGAAAACGTCCTTTGCTGCTTTGTGGAGGACAGGAAGCCTCACGACCGAAGCCTGCCTCTAACAATGGCATTTTGCCAACAGGACTTGCAGGGCATGTTCTCAATTTGTTTTTTTTTTATTTTATTTTTAGTTACATCTGCAGATGCACTTAAAAAAATAAAATCACGCTTCTCAGTTTTCCCAGAAGCTGCATATAGCTGAAATTTTCCCTACCTGTCCCCCTTACTTTCCCAAACACCAATTTCATCTTGCAGTGAATGATCAGTGCAATTTGTTTATTTTCAGCAATGTATTAACTACTATATGTATAAACTGTATGTAAGGTAATGTATTAACTACAATTTGTTCAATTAAGTGTTTTCCCCCGGTCTATTAGGAACATTGTTTTTCTCAATGCTTTGTTCTCTCCCTCCTCATCTTCAACTTTATTTTAAAATACTGCTCCATTTGAACTTCCTACAGACAATTTAAAATCCCCTTCAAACTCCACTACACTTTCCTTTATTTTTCACTCACTGGGTAACAAGCTATGGAAATACTTAGCAAAGATAAAAAAGTACTGTCAGTCAAATGCTGAGCTTGATTTAATGAGACAGAAAAAATCGACTACCATAGATTTCTAATTGTTTTACCAGCTGAAAGCATCAAAGTAAACGGAGAATCTGACAGCCAGATATTAGGCAAAAGTAGGGCAAGGATCTGAATGCCTCTGCACCAAGCGTCAGGCCTATACTGCTCTTATAGGTGCCAGTGACAAGCTCTATCTGCGCTCCAACCCAAAGGCTCTGGGACTGCGTCAACGCTATGTGGAAGCAGTCACATGGCTCTTGGACTGCAGCCGGCTCACATTCTGCTGGTTCAGAGTTTGTTCCCTTCTATTTACAAAAGACTGCGTAGACATACCACAGGAGAGAGCAGGGTAAAGCACAGGGTGAGCTGGGTGGAGGTAGACCATTCCTCCGCATCAGCCTTCTCGCGTCCCCTCAACTCTTTGCAGGTCAAGAACCAAGATGAATTATGACAGAATCATCAGCTCGATGTTACTAAGGGTTTTTATCAGCTAAGGGTCTGACCCAAGTCCTCACTTCTCACAAGGCACGTGCTTACATGCTGCTCCAAAGGTTCCCATGAAGCCCACATGTAAGACCATTTAGCTTCTGAACAGAGCTGTTATCATGGGAAATACACACCGCAAGGTCCCTCGGGGATGAACCACGCAGTCAGCTACGCTAGAAACTTGTGATACCGACTAGCATGCTGCCAACCGGCCCTGCCGCGGGGAGGACGGGCGCCGGCAGAGGGAGATCACCTCTGCCCTGTTACTTGCCTAGCCCTCACAACCCA